TGGGACCCAGCCCCGACAAGCTGCATTCGAGTCCTTGGGATGCTGTCATGCAGCCTGTCTGATTCCAGGCCATCGTCATGAACTGAAGGCCCCTTTCACCGTCTCCCGCCCAGGAAGGCTCCCAAATCACTTTAGGGTTCAAGCAATAGCCAACGTGCCTTCCGCCGCATTCCTTTCCCATGCCAGATCTTTTCCATTTTATTCCAGCCTCATAAGCATTGCTTTTGTGCTTGGCAAGGTAGTAGATGTGCAGCGAGTATTTCATGCAGTAATTTTGCTGATTAGGACACAGGCTCAGGGGTAAGAGGCTTGTCCAAGCTCGCATAGCTGGAAAGTGAGGACAGCAGGATTCAAAGTCAGTTTCAGCTCCAAAGCCTGTGGTCTGTCCACTGCCTGCAAATAAGCCAGTAACACCTGGGCCTGCAATCTGCAGTCCATGAGCCAAATCCAGCCCGCTGCTTATTTTTGCACAGCCAGGGAGCCAAGAATAGCTTTTCCATTTTTAAAATGTTAAAAAAAAAAAAAACCCATAAAAACATGCACATTAAAAAAATGCAACAACAGAGACTGTATGTGACCTGCTGAGCCTAAAATATTTACCATCTGGCCCTTTAAAGGAAAAACTTGCCAACTGCTGATTAAGACTGTGACATATGTCCCCTTCTGAGCTCACCCTGGGACGGCTGGTGAGATGACACTGGGTCAGTGTGTCCATCCAAAGCTTCATTGTCAAAAACACAGCAGTTCTAAGTCATTAATGTGACGTAGGCCTTCAAAGACTCTTCATAATCCTTCTTCTGCTGGCTTGGCCCGAAGGTGGCATATGTTCCTCTGGATGCACCAGTGTTTGCTAGAGCATCACAGACAGCTGAGGGTCAAAGCCCTCATAACTAATTTAGTAATCTTAATTGCTGTATTCTTTTTTCTCAGTGATGATTAATATTCTATATATATGTTAATGAATCTTGTCATTCTGCTGGTTCTTTCATTAGTGAGTTAAATCTTTGACACATGCTCACTAGATATTTGTATGAGCCATATTTTGAACTTTTGAAAAATAGACTTTGACATCCTCATCATGCCTGCAAAAATGGAGACCTCCAAGGTCAAATCCAGCAAGCTGCAGTGGTCACCCTGGGGTCTGAAGTCTTCTCTCTGTGGGTGTATTGATCTGTCAAGAGGGGGCCTGTAGCGGTGGAAACCTTTGGAGAGCACAGCTCGGTTTAGCTCTTGGTTCCACCTTTTAAAAGCTGTGTCGTCTTGGCTGACTTGTAAGATGTCTCTCAGTTTTAGTGTCCTCAGCCATAAAATGGAGATAAGGCTCCATTTATATAATGTTGTTATATAAAAATTAAATAACAAATAATATTAGAAGACAGTGGTTGAGGATACAAATTCTTAGCCAGGCTGCCAGGGTTTGCTTCTTGCATCTGTTGTTTCCTAGATGCACAACATTTTCTAGTTGATTTGATTGTGCTTCCATTTTCTTATCTATAAAATGGGGTTAGACCCTACCTTATAGGGTTACATGTGTCAATATTTAAAAAGCCCTTGGAACTGTAGTCGACTGGTATACTGTAAGCACTTAATAAGTGTTATCTGTGATGAGGAAAATAACGATATTCATAAAACACCCAGTATACACTTTATTCTCAAAGAATTGGTAGCTGTCAAAGATCAAGGATATTCATCATCCAGACTCAGAGTCATGGCAAAAGACCTGTTAATACATAAAAACAAAAAGTTTCCAAGAAGTAAAGAAATGTGCCCAAGATCACCAAGCCAGAACCAGAACCCAAGTCTTAGATTCCAGCCCAGCTTCTGTCCCCCGTGCAGATCTTAGGAGCTAGACACCGAGCGCAAAGGACAACCAGCCCCGCCAGACAGGGGCTGAGTCTCCTCCTGCCAGACTCGTCTCTGTAGCTTTTGGGGATTCCCTGCCCAAGGAAATGTCTTCCCCGTGCTGCTACTGCTGCTTCTAAATCAACGCTTTTGTGGGGCCACAGGGAGAAGTCAGAGCCTGAGCAAAACACACCAGGTCAGGGATGGAGCCGTTTAGTTCCAGGGGCAGAAAAAAGACCAGGACTGTCCTGCGCCCTCCCCCACCTTCCAATCCCTGGGGTCCTCAGCTCCACGCTCATGCCTCCAGTCAAAATAGTTAAAGATTTCCATCCTAAGTGATGATGAACAGGAAAAACAAACCCATACCATACCACATACCCAAATACCAGACATTCCTCAGATGGTTTGCTGTGTAGGTGATTGGCCACAGACTTCTCTTGCTTCTCAGAGAGCGGGGATGGAGACTAGGGGTGGGGAGACCGGTGCCCCAACTGCTCATCCCAGAGTCTAGAAACAGGACTGGGATGGCTGCTGTCTGCAATAAGTCTGCTATCCTTTTCCACACCCATCAAGTAAGCCATATACTGGAATCGGGGTGTTACCAACATCACACTCTACAGATGCATCAAAAACTAAACATTTGTTGAAGACCTACTGTGGGTCTGGCACCATGTTAGGGGCACTAGTGCTCAGTTAACTCTTGAAAGTGGACGCAATGGGGTTTTCATTGGTCACATTTTCAAGATTGCTTTCATGTAGGTGTGAAGGAAAAGGGAACAAGATTTCGCTGCGTGCCTAATATGTGGTCAAATGCTTGTTGGCCTTTTCCTATGCGACTGCTATCTGGCATTAGTTAGGGTGCCTTGGCTGCAAGCCCAACTCCGGCTGGCTTAAATGTGGTAGAAGTGTATCTGGTTAGGGATTGGGAAGCCTGCAAGAATTAGGTTAGACAAACTGATCGACACTGCCACCAAAGTATAGATTCTTCGATTGCCTTCATTCCACCATCCCTGGGGGAGGCTCCATGATGAGGCTGGTGCTGCTTGTGGTCAGAAAGTGGCTTTTTCATTCACCACTGATAACAGGGGAGAGAGAACCTGTTGGGGGATATATGATAGACATTGTGCTTGACTTCCCAACATCGACTCCCCTCTGCCTTGTGGAGTGCAGCAATATTTTGGGGGACTTGGCCTCAAGTCAAGGATAACACCATTTTCACTGGTCACATTTTCAAGATCGCTTTCATGTAGCTGTGAAAGAAAAGGGAACAATTTTTTTTTTTTTTTACTAAAAGAATAGATTTTTATTAAGCGCTGTGTTTCTAGCAGTATTAACAAAACAACAGACCAATTTCCATCACAGAACAACTCCTGAGGCATTCTCATTCCTTTCTGAAACTCTTCCATGAACTCCTGCAGTTTCCCGGAAGGAGCATCCATTCAAACATAATGAATCAACTCTGGAGCTTTTGTGGTGAGGTGGGCCCAAATTTGGAATCTGGGAGTGGGAAAGAGAGACACATATCATCCACTCAGTAAACACACTGTCTAGAATGTGTTTCCTCTTATCTCCAGCAGACATTTTCTCTTATCTCTTTGGCCAGAATCAGGTTGTATGCCCATTCCAGAATCAGTCACTAGCAGGGGGAATGGTGTTATCCTTGACTTGAGGCCAAATCCCCCCAAATATTGCTGGACTCCGTAGGCAGAGGGGAGTAGGTGCTGGGAAGTCAAGTACAATGTCTATCAATAGGCGTGATAACTAAGACTTGCTCCGAGCCATGTCTCCGACGTTCAAAGCCCTTGTAGGTTCTTTTCACTTCATTGTACTACATGAGGCAAGAAAAGGGAGGGAAGGACTAGGGAGTTGAATTTCAAGTGCCCTTTTGGAGCATGGAGCTGCAGGAGGAAACTCTGCTTCTTAAAGTACCCGTTCCCCTCCACCTTTCCTTTCTTTTTCAGATGGTCCTCACATCCCACTGGCATTCAGACCGGGGGCACCATCGCGTAGGGATTGACTCACACCGTCCGAGGTCCTTTCAATATTTCAGTAACAACTCCCTTTGGCTGGGCGTAGTGGCTCACACCTGTAATTCCAGCTTTGGGAGGCTGAGGTGGGTGGATCCCTTGAGGTCAGGAGTTCAAGACCAGCCTGGGCAACATGACAAAACTCCGTCTCTACTAAAATACAAAAATTAACTGGGTGTGGTGTTGTGTGCCTGTAATCCCAGCAACTCTGGAGGCTGAGGCAGGAGAACTGCTTGAACCTGGAAGGCAGAGGTTGCAGTGAGCCAGGATTGCACCACTACACTCCAGCCTGGGCAACAGAGCAAGACTCTGTCTCAAAAAACAAACAACTCCTTTTGGGCTGGAGCCTGTCTTCTGAATTTTGCTGGACAATGGGGAGAGTTACCAGGAGGTGGCAGGATATTTAGGATCAAGCTGTGTTTCCTTGCAGCTGTTTTAGGAAGGAAACCCTAGGAAAGCGATTTTCAGAGAAACTATTTTAGTCTGAGGCAATAATGTTGCCCTGTGGCATGGCAAGGCCACGGGGAGGTGGGGAGGAGGAAGAAGCCAGCTGTGGTGGGTGGTAGCTGTTTGGGAACCAGCTTTTTAAGTCTGTTCAAGTTCAAATCAGCCAGAGTCCAAAGCAGCTGACACCAAGCAGGTCATAAACACGAGTTACACACTGCATGGTCTGAAGTTTCCTCCCAGGCAGTCCATCTTTATTAAATACCTCACATGTCCAAGGCTTGGTTTTGGGTGCTAGGGAGGTTGCATGAGATCCCTGCTTGAGACCTAGATGAGGTTGCTGCACAGGCAAAATACTACCTAGTAACAGTGGACGGGGTATGTGACATGCTAAGAGGGGAGGAGAGACAGTAATCACAATAGGATTTGAGAGCAGCGTTTCCCAAGGTGTGATCTTTGGAATATCTGTCCCTCAGAATATACTGAAATTAAAAACTGCTCCAAGGGCCTCCAAACTGGGGCAACCCCACATATTATAGGCTCCTTTTGGAGATATCCAGTGCATATGAGTATCTTAAAGGCTCTAAGAAGTCTCATAGAGACTTATTAAATTATTAACCTGTTTACCTTTCATAGCCTGATTTCTGATACTTATTTACCCATGAAATGCCTCCCTTTTCTCTCCAGGAAAACGGGACTACCTGATCTATCGGTGTCCCATGGAACCACACTGCCCCCTGTGGTCAGAACCACCCGGGATGCAGAACAGCAAGGACCGCAAACTTGGGTGCAGAGGGCTTTCCTCCACACAACCTGGGAAGCTCCGTGATTGGCAAACGGCTCTGTCAGGATCCATCGAGTCAGCAAACATAGGTGCCTCTAGGATGCAAGCCAGAGAACAGGGCTGTTTGTGGCTTGCTGGTAGCCAAGCAAAATGCCCCGATCCATCAGGTGAGCTGATGATGAGCTTGCAGGCATGGAGAATGTAGCACTGAGGCAGAGTGGCAGCCAGCCTTAAAGGTTTGTTGTGTCTTCCACTGCTTCCCTGGCCCCGCCTTCTTTTGGAACGGAGCCCTGATTCCAAGGAGTGCAGGCCCTGCCAGACAGCCTCCGTCCCTACCTGTCCCTCCAGGTTTAGACCTTGCATGGTCCTCTCTCCGCATCCCTCCTTCCTGCCTGCATGCCTACACCCTAAATGTTCTCTCTGCTCTATTCACTAGCACAGGCTGCTTCCCTTCCTTTGAGAATCTACTCCAGTCCACTTCCTCCTCAGTCCTACCCTCCCAAGGACCCTCCCTGAGGCTGGAGTCCTGCCGGCCTCCTACCACACTGGATAACTTGGCATTGCTCTCGTTTCTCCTTGCAGGAGACTGGCTTCTCCAGGGTGGTCTGAGATCTTTGGAGGGAAAGACTGTGCCTTGCCTTCTCCTTCCATCTCTTCTCATGCTCATAGAGTCAGGGAGCTGAGAGGACACCAGCCCATCTCTCCCCTGGAGCCTCTAAGCACCTCTCCCTTCCTGCTTTCCAAATGCCTCTGTAACACCACGGTGCTGGGTGCATGGGACTGAGGGCCTCCCTCGGGGCCCCTTCTCATCCTGGGCTACGCCAAGACTTGGACCCCATGTGGAACACAGTCAGCCTTCTGATGAATCCAGAAAGCATTTCTCCAACATTCAGTTGTGAGCTTAAGGGAATTAAACTTCTCTTTCTGAAAATAAGCTGCAGATTATCCTGAGAGAGGCCCAAACAGGCAGGAGACTCTGAATATGGCTGCAAGAGCTTAGGCTGTTACTGCGCCTCCTAGGTGCCAGCCCACGTGGGCAGGCTTTTCCGCCCACCACCCCCACCCAGGTCAGCCTGGCCACAGAAGGTCTGGGCTGGAGTTTCTCACCTTGCGGAGTTCAGGCAGCAAAACTCCTGCAATTATGCTCTGCTTCAGGTGGAGGGTGTTCAAATAAAAATGCCTGACGGAATATCTCTGAACCATATAGCTAGCTACCTGTGAACACTGTGGTTTTCAACCCAGGATAGAGCAGGGTTTTGGAGACACTCAGTGGGAATAAAGTAAAGCAAGGCTCTCTGTGACTGCAGGTTACAGAACAAGCTCGGTAGCACGGGCTCAGTGAGCCTCAGGATGTCCTCTTTCCCCCTACCACAGACACGTGCAGACTTGGCCTCCCCTGCAGCCCTCACCAGCCCCTATGCTCACTGTCCCTGCTTGCCCAGGAGCTCCAGCACATCCCAGGCTCTGCCATATGCACACAGTTCCCTCTGTCCCCAGCTCCCTCTCCCTGTGTCTGCGTGCTTAATTTCCCACTGGCCAGGCTCAGACTGAGGTTCTCCCTAGGCTGTTGGTTTAAAAAAAAAAAAAAAAAGCGTTGAAAACAAACTGGAATTTCAGTCCTTGCTTTGCCACTTACTAGCTGGGTGATCTTAACATAGTGGTTGGGAGATCCCAGTTCTGCTAGCTGTGTGGCCTTGGGCAAGTTACCTAACCTCTCTGTGCCTCAGCCTTGCTGTCTATAAAACGGAGATAAGAGCACCCATGCATTGTACTGGGTATAGTTGTGAGGATTAAATAAAGGTGATAACGGTGAATGTCTTGCACATGGTAGGGGTAAGCTAACTTAGAGATGGACTACCGCTCCCCCATCCTACCTCTGGCAGCAGCCCCTCCCACTACAGCATCTCCCACTGGGCAGCTCTGTGGCCCAGCTCACCTTGCCCTCAATTTTTTACCTTGGAACCGAATTCATTCTCTAGTTGCTGACCTTTGTTAGTGCATCTCCTGCTTCCATCATGCATTTTCCCTGGACAGAATCTCTCTCCTGATCTCCTGCAGTGATTCATCTGATAACTGGACCGGAAGTGCCCTCCCTGACACAAGGCCCCTCACGCTGTGCTCCTGGCTGCCGTCCTCTCCGGCCTCACTGAATTGTTCACCTCCTTAAGCAACTGCCTCTTCAGAAACCCAGGCCTAGGTAAGTGCGGTTCCTGCAGCCTGGAGTGCCACGCCGTCCCTTCTCTGTCTGGGGAACTCCTATTCATTAGGAGTCAGGCCAGATGTCCTCCTCTTGGAAATCCTTCCCAGCTTCAGGGCTCTGCCCTTGACTCCCACGGCCATGGGTCAATGTTTGCCCTCCCTGGACTGTGACCTCCGGGAAGTAGGCTCGGATCCCCAGCGTCCTATACACAGCAGGGGCCGGGGCATGTCTAAGTTAAGGTGTGAGTTGATAGGGCAGCCTGACTGAGCTGCCTGTGCAGAGGATCTGAATTCCTACAGACATGACCACTTCTGCATAAGTCTTGGTTTGCCGTTCTGCAAAATGGTCACACCACCTTCCCCACGGCTGCCAAGGGCTGGGCTCCAGCTGTCCAGCAGCACCGATCTGACACACAGGAGACTCGCTGAGTCCTCTTACCCCTTTCTGGTTGGCTCAGGCTTCCCACCTTCGCTGTGGGTATGGTCAGCTCCAACCTCATTTTTGTTGTTCTTGTTAAGTCAAAGATATAAAAACCTTCATTATCAACTGGCTTAGAGATCCTAAATCATCCTTTTAAGGGTGAAAAAAAAAAATCTATCTTATTGGTTGTTAGACACAGCAGTGACTCTCTTCGTTGCTATGGTGATTCTTTGACACCCCCTCTTGCAGATTAGAAATGCCTCACATTTTTCTAAGTCTGGCTGCCCCCCACAAACAGGGATTTCTGGCCCGGCAGTTCCCACTCCCAAACAGGAAGGGGAGGGCCTGGCAGCCTCTGGGGATTGCAGTTGTGGCCTCAGCTGTCAGAAGTGAACCTAACCTTCCTGTGTCAGGGCCTCGGTCAAGTTTGGAGATGATCCCATATGCACTTCTGTATTTAACTGGGCAGTCTTCTGACAGAGGTGGTACGTAAAGCCAAAACGTCCCCAAGCTACTTGTCCAGGACACCTGCTCCTGGAATTTCTCCAAGTTAACTCTTGTGTGAGCAAAGCTACATGAAATTCACTGGCACCCTGTGGCTTCGCGTCTGTCACTCACTCACACACACGTGCGCGCGCTCTCTCTCCTGACATAGCTCTGGTAACTGTGGAGGTAGTCCTCAAGGTGGAAATCTACTCTCAAGATAAAGACGGTTTCCTCCCCCTTCTTGTCCACCTTCCTCCCGTTCCCATGAGTCCTCCACACAGGTTTGTTCCTTTAAAGGTTTATTTCTGGCAAATAAAAAAAATAACTTATGTGGTTAGATAAATTAATGTATGTGATTAGACAGGACACAGGGCAGAGCTGAACGTTCCTGTTTTCTTCTGGATCTTGAAGGCTGGTGAGAGGCAGCTGAATGAGACCCAGCCTCGTGTTTTGTGGGATGAAGAGATGCAGATAAAGTGACTCAGGTACATTGATGCTCCCTGGAGGGCTGGGAGGTGGGCTCAGAGGAAGAGGCCGAATCCAAACCTTTTTTATTGAGAAGAAATAGTTCTTCTTTGTAGCTTAAAAAGAAAAAACCGAAGCTCTGCACAGAGTCATCCGTAATGACCATAAACATAACATACCAAGCACAGGCTCAGAAAGATGGAGCAACAGACTGAGGACATTTTCAACATGGTACTTGGGGATACCTTTGGGAAAGATGCCTTCCCCAGCAGAGGCCAGCACTGTGGAGAGAGAGGACCAGAGCCACTACTAGCACAGTTGTCAAGGTCTTTTGCTTTCTGAACTCTGGGGACCACTGCCTTTTAGCCTGAGGTGAACGTCTCCAAATTTCTTGGGTTTGGTAAGTCTCAGAAGCAGCCAGCCCCTCGGTCAACGGAGGGTACCTTTCCTTCAGGAATCTGAGAATGGAACATGCAGATAGTCTGTGCTGGGGGTCTTAAGGCCAGGATCCCAGAAGCCTTTCCGGAGCCCAGAACCTGAAAGCTGGGAGAGAAGATTCTGGCGACTACCTGCCAGGGAGGAAACCAAGGCTCCGCAGGGAGCAGCCTGCGAGTTCCCCAGGAGCAGAGCCCATGGCTTGCTCACCACTTCTGACCTGTGTCTGGTTGCTTCATGAGGTGTTGCTGGCCTTGGCATCACTTTGGAGGTGGGGTTTACTCTCAGGCTATGGTGAATTTTGGTTATAATTTTTGATGAATTAGGAACAGGCTTTAGTTGCCTGTGAACGTACTGACTAAGACAGCCGGAAAGCAAGCAGGTGAGACCCAGGAGAAGCTCAAAGCGTTTTCCCTGATAAAAGCGTGTGCCATGAGGTTACAGGCAGCTCACTTCTTAAGGCCCATGCACAGATTGCAGGCTGGGCAGCTGCCTCTGCAGCCGACCTGGAGGGACTGCGATGACCGACTGCAGGGCCAACCAGGAATTGAGGAACCTGCCTGCACAGACGGCCAGGGCCACAGCTGGCTGGACACCGGCAAAATTTAAACAAGGGCTGTTCATTTCACCAAACATGACCTTAGCTTCCCTATCTAAAGACTTCTGAAAGGCAGAACCAAGTAAAATCCAAATTTTCAAGTCACTGGGCAGTTCTGAAATCCACTTCAGTTCCCCTTTTGGCCATCAGGAACAGCAATTTCTGGCACAAAAAATCAGCCCAAGGATTCAAAAAGCCCTCAAGGAGCAGAGGGGCGTGAGAAGAAACACATCCACACACCTACTCCCTCTTCACAGAGACACATTTCTATGCTCCAGACCTGGGACCATTTTTACGCCGACACCACTCCCTTACTAGATGCTCTGGAAGTTCACACTCCCAAATGAACTCATGCCTGTGTTATTGATTTTCCTTTGAAGAACCAGAAGGCCCCCTCAGTGCCAACTGAGGACACTGCGGTAATGCTTATTAAATAACACCCAGACAAGGCATGGCCCTTCAACCATCTTATGAACTGAGAAACCACCACGCTGGCCACAAGGCCATTCACATACACATAAGCAGGGTGGATGAGGAAAGGACAGATGAGAAACTGGGACCACACCAGGTGATAACTGAGAACCAAACTCCCCAGAGCTCCCAGCACTGGACGACTCCAGAAAGGTGAGTATTTATACAGCTCCTACAAAAATAAACTTTCTTCGACGCCTGTTCTTTAGAGTTGTAAAGGACAGGCCTTTGCATTTGGTTTGTCTCTGGAGGTTTTTCTGGTATCAAATGCAGTAAAGGTTTTAAACAACTCTGAGGCAGGGTGGGAGAACTCACCGCCTGCCCCTGCCTCGGTCCTGGGGTTCCAGGATGTGACGGGGGATAGGCGGAAGAGGGCAGCTGCCCTGGGCATAGCATAGAAGAGCAGAGGGTGGGGTGGGCTGGGCCACAGAGGGGCTCCCCAGAGCCCTGTTACAGGAGGCCATTAACACATGGTGACTCTGAGCATTGGGGTCTGACTTCTGAGGGTCTCTGGAAGCACGTGTGCCCCTCCTCTCAGTGTCCAGCCAGGGCAGGCATAAGGTGTTGGATCAGCTCCACTTAAAGAGGGTGAGCCAAGGGTGTGCCAGCTTTTCCCCAAGAGGCTAGGGCTCTAGCAGCTCCCCTCCTCTTCAGAACTGGTACCCACACACTGTCAGTGTCCTACACACTCTCTCTCACTTGCTTTTCCTTTACAGTATCTTTTCTCTAACTTCACTGGTCTGAAAAAAAATTCTAATACGTGCAAGCACTTACAAGTAACTTACGGGAAGCTGTCAGAAGTTTATATATTTTAAAACCATGACATGGGCTAGAATCTGGTGAAACAAGATCATCAGGCAAGGTCGAAAGGTGACATCTTTGAAGGACCAAAGCACCCACTTTCCCCCGTTGGTGGAACTTTGAAACTATAGTGTGGATGGAGTCTGAGACACGACAGCACACCAGAAAGAGAGGCAGAGGGTGAGTGCCTTTAACTGTTACCAGTTTTGTAAATCATGTACTTCCGTTAACTTTTACCTCCCCCACTGTGAATTCTTTCAGACACTCTTGCTCCCTGGCATTAGACTCTGTCAAGCCATTCATCTTCCATGCACTGCCTTGGCTAAAGGCGCAGATTAAGGGTAAATTCAAGGTCTTCCGGTGCCCTTCCCATGGGAGGGCTCTGAAAAGAAAAGGGGAAAGAAAAGAGGGGAAAAATACAAAATTGTGGACATGTGACATCCAGAAAATGAACTCTGAAAAGATCTTATGTCTTCACTTATGTGATAATAAGTAAAACTATCTTGTTAAAGGTTCACATTGATTTTAGGATGCATTTAGATTTTCTAGATATCAAGACAGAAAAAAAGGCGTCTTGGGTTGGAAGGCAGGTGATAGGTTTGTAAGCAGATGCTTTCCAATCCGGGCTTGTGACCATTCTGAAGGCATAGAAACCAGCGTGGGACCTAAAGATGACTCACTGAGGAAGCTCTTTATGCCAGCAGAATCCCCACCCTGGACACTCAGGAGATGAGCGTTCCACTGACTGTCAAATGGGAGCCGTGGGTTTGTGTGGATGACTCTGTATGAACTGAAACAGCCTCTGCAGAGGAAGGAGCCCACAGATTTTATTATAGCCCCTGCTCACCAAGCCCGGACGGCCTCCCACAACTCTGCCCTTTGGACTATGGAGGGAAAAAATAATTGTTCAGTTTTCTGAGCCACAAAATACAAGATGGGTCTAGGTTGTACAAGGAGCTTACACACGGAGGCAAGAAAGCGTGCAAACAGGAGCGGGAATTTTTCACCCCCTGGGTGAGCCAGTGCTCAAGACATGGAAGGAGGGCCTCAGTCACCCTCCCGGAGTCCACACGGGTTTGTTTCTGGCTTTTATGAACCATGTCCAACTCCAGCTTCCATCTTCTCCTGAGAGGAAGAAGAATATTCTATGATATCAATGATTTTTTCCCCATTACGGTATCACAAAGAGGTCCAGGAGCAGGCCTAAGAGAAGGACCAACAAAAGCAAACGTGTCTGAGAACGACATAATACTGACTTTTCTTTGTTGGTAACAGTCCACGAAACGTGCACCCCTCTCTCCTGAGACACAGGCAGGAGGGGAGGCGGCAGAGGAGCTGTGGGTAGGACATTGTACCGTGTGACATCACGATCATGCAGCCGGTGCTGACGGGACAGAGATGTGCGAACAAGCACGCAGGGCTCCAGGCTCACCCCGGGGGGAGGTGGGCAGTTTCCAGGTAAGTGCTCAGCCTCTCAGGAACACTGTCCAGTTCAGCCAGGGCCATCCCTTGGGACTCGCCATCTGGGCGCGCACCTTAGCCCTCATCTTCCCTCAGCTCGGTGGGTAAAAACTTATATTGCTGCTGGCGGATTTGGGCCAGTTTTTTCCTTGCTTCTTCCAGTTCTCGCTCTTTCTTTAGCATTTCTTCCTGGGCAGCGATGATCTAGAAAGAAAGCAACAAGCTGGATGGACCTAACGCTTTCTAGAAAACCCTCCCCACACCCCACTGCTCATGTGAGCTCCACGGCTCCCGTGACCATGGGGCACTGCAGCACGTCAGGAACAGTCTTGGCTCTGGAGACCAGCCTCTGTCACTGTTTGGGGTTTGAGACTAACGACCCAGCCGAGCCATGAAAACATGCTGGGTCTGCCCGGTGATTTAACAGCAAACATCTACTACAGCCTTCCTATGTACCAGGCTCTGGTGCAAATACTCTTCACTGAAGTGGCTGCTCTGTGAAGCACGCCCAGTTGAAAGTCTTGTTTTTCCAAGAAGAAATCTGAAGCTGAGCGATGTAGGTCCACTTGTCTGGAGTCACCCAGCCGGTGGAGGAAGACCTGGTCCAGGTATGGGCAAAGCTAAAGCGGAACCCTGAACCACCAGATGGCCCTCAAATGCTTATTTCATGCTTTTAAGGTGTGATCTGAGGAAGATTTGCTAATAGGTATTGTGTGAAAAGGGAAAATTGTGTTCAAAAAAGCAAAGTCAGTTCCTTTCCTGGCTTTCCAGAGCCTTTCCTAGGCTAATGACTATCATTACCAGGGCGGGGTTATTGAATGCAGTATTCTCCAGCCTTATTTGATCCGAGCCCCTTTGCTGTGAAACTTCTCATGAGAAACACATTCTGGTAAAAACACATGCAGTGCATAGCCAAACACAGGGCGTGCTTCAGGAAGAGCTAAGGCAGGCATGGGGCTTGAGTAACTTCAGTGCTCCTGGTGTGGACAAATAAAACAGTCCCCTAAAATGGATTTACGAGATGGACACACATCAAAAAGTGCAAGCCTGACTTCCTAGAGCTTTCTCCTCACTCCCATGCATGAAAATGTCATCCTGCCTAAGTCAGAATCCCAACTGCTCTTGTAACAGTTCTGGGAGAGGGAAAGCATGCTCTCTCTGCAGAGCCCAATGTCTGGAGCGGGCAGTAGCTCCAAATGTATTTTATTTAAATAATATTGCTGTCCTCCATTTTTGTTCTTCTTCTTTTCTACAATAGAATCCTTGATTTTTATCTAGGCAAATGCTACTCAAAAAAGAATACGACATTGCCCAGCCTCCTGTGCAGGAAGCTGACCAACATATGTGAGAGGAAATAATGCCTGCAGCTTAGGGTCATGGCCTCCCCTCCTTGCCGGATGGAAAGCTGAGGGGGCTACTGAGCCAAATGGACCACATGGCCAAAGGTAACATCTCAGGGATGGTGAAATAGCAAGGCAGACGGACCTGGCTCTCAGACACGAAGGAAACACCACACCATCTGTGGTACATGAGGAAGAAATAAACTTTCATCTTGAAGTCACGGTTCTTTTGTCTCTCTGTTATAACCTGACACCTACCTCGGGAAGTAAACACTATTCTTGATTTAATTACAAACCTGAGCAATGCCCCCCACAAACTTGGTTTTCACGACAACATCATCATCATCAGCTTTGCCAAATGCTGCCTTCTGGGCTGCACGGACAAGATTGTCTGAGGCTCTTTTCACAGCATTTCCTGCCGCCTGGAGAGTGAACAAAACATACATGATATCATTAGAAACAGCCATTTGGGCCCGGCAAGAATAGACATGAAGGTACAGTTTGTGAGACTGTGAGTCAACTGATTATCCAGTTACAACATGAAGTTCTCCAGCCAGCGAGTACCCATCTGTCTGTCCATCCATCCATGGAGTCTACCAACACTGGAACCTCCCTGGTCACTCACAGATGAATGAGACAAAGTGCCTGGCCCTCAAGGAACACTCATTTTTGAGGGGAATTATAATTATGTAAATGTTTAATAAATGATTCCAGCAATGTGATGTGTGTTAACAGAGGCAAGCCTGAGTTCTGCCTCGTTGGTCTGGAAAACCACTCCCCTGCCTCCATCTGATTTAGCACATACTTGAGGACTTGGCGCAGACATCACTTTTGCCTGGCTCCCTTAGCTTTACCCACACCCTCTCCCTGTGTGTGCCTGGAGTGTGCTGTGCCGGCATCACCGCAGCCTTTACCATGCTTGTGGCTGGCTGTCCCCTCCTGGACAGTCAGCAACTTGAAGGCAGGGACGGTGACTGGAATCCCTGCATCCCCAGCAGCGGCACTGTGGCTGTCCACAGTTGGTGCTCACTGAAGGCTCTGAGGGAATGAAGGGCTACCCTCGTGTGGAAGGGCTGGGAGCCTCACAGTAACTATGGCCTTGTGCACGTACTTTTAGGGTCTCAGCTGGGCTTTGCACCACAGGCTCTTAAGATGGAGCGATTGCTAGAGACAGGTAAAGAAGAGCTTTTCAGTCTTCCTTAGGTCTTCCTTAAGGGCTGTTGCCTGTATTGGCTTATTTTTAATGCTCATGAAGCATGTCCCCAGGGACATGCCAGCTGCGGTTTGGAGTTTTCTTCTAAAAGTGGTTAAGGCTTCATTAAACCTCTCGTATTTCTTGTCCAGCGCCCCCTCAGGGTTGAAGGTTTGTGCTTGAGGGTTTGCCATCAGAAAGCTGAGAGTTCTTCTCATTCAAAGTTAACTGCCCAGCCTGGTCTGTGAACTCAAGTGCCCAATGCAAACTATGAGGGCTTACACAGGATGGGAAGGGAACCAGTTAATATTTGACAAGTAATCACCATGTGCGTATTCGCCAGAGGGTTTATCAGGTCAGAAATCTTTAGCCTGCTTTTCTGATGTGAAACCGAGGTTAAGAAACCTAAGATTTGGATTTGGTAGCTAGCAAGTTCTACATCTGGGATCTGCACCTAGGTCCATCTAGCCCCAGGGAACTCCTGAGTCATTTATAAGGGGCTCAAACACAACACTGCAGCATCCAGTTAAATCGGTAATGATGGGAACAAGAGCGATGCTGCATTCGAGCTGTGTAAATCCTTAGGACCTAACAAAGCACTGTCATATCCATTCTCCTATTTGACCCTCATAAGAGTCAGTGTGGATGGCTTTATCCCCATTTTACAGATGAAGCCCCTGAAAAGTTTTCAGTGATTTATATAAGATTACGCACCTAAAAAATGGCAGAAGCAGGACTTGAACCAGGTCTCTTAACTCAGGATGTTTTCCTCACAAGTGTGCCCCAGACCCAGAAATCACATATTCACAAACACACAGCTCCTCAATTTTTCCCTGGGTTTATCCCAGGTATCAAATAAAGGTGAGGGAGGTGGGTCAGAGAGGGACTCAAGAGTCCCAAACAACAGAAATGCACTTTAGGCCTTTTACAGTAAAACAAGAATTCTGAGCTTTGGTAGAACTATTCAAACATTTCTGCCATTTATGATTTGCTTCATGACTGACGTAAACATACTTTTGGCAATACAGACGATCTGCATTTTAACACTTATAATAAAAAAAACTTGAAAATTGGAAACAAAATGTCCAAAGTATAGAGAAATTCTGGCGTAATCAGTTGATGCAATATCATGCAATCATTAAAAATGGAACTCATGAAGAATGGGCCAGCTAGCTTTGCATAGAGAAGTTAATGGAGCCTTATCTTCAAGGAAAAAATACATATGATAAAATGTTAAGTGAAAAGAAAGCAGAATGTATCTTGCCATGATTACAACTGGACAATATTTTATATGTAGTTAAAAATGAACAGAAAACAATGATAACGTTTGATATATGAAGATGTTGGGGGCCGTGTGATTTTTTTTCATTTAAGCATTTCTTTTATTGTGTTTAAAATATTTTTACAATTCAAGCAATCAGGAAAATGTATCTGCTTTGGGAAGGACTTGTTACCTTCCTAACATGTTCTCTGGGCTCTGGGAAGCAGCCACAGTCTCATATAATCTCAGTTCCTTTACTCCCTTCTGTAGCAGACATTGGCTGAAGGCCTCCTCTGAAGCAGGCACCGAGTTAGTAACATGTGAGAGGCACAGATGAAGGTGTGGTATCTGCATCTAAGAGGCTCACAACCTGCTCACGGACAGACCTGCAGTGGTAACATGTGATGGGAACCTAAGTGGTCTGCCTAGGGGCTCTCAAACAACAGAGGAGGGATAAGCTGCCCAGACACTGGGAGTCAGGGACGGCTTCCCAGAACAGAGGACTTTGAAGATAAATCACAAAGGACAAGTAGGGGTCTGCTGGGTGGGGCTGGTGAGGAGCAGGGCCCCAGGGCATGAGACCAGAAGGCACACGCGGAGAATGGCAGCTTGGCGGGGCAACAGTGGAGGATGCATGGACGCACGCAGTAGATGAGGCTGCAATGTGGACAGAGCTGGCTGATGGAAGGCCTGGTGGGGCATGCCAAGGAAGTGAGGCTTGTCCCCTTTGGTGACACTTACCCGCTCCAACAGGAGTATTTTCCCACCAGCATCAGTGACCATTACCTGTAGCCGCCTCATGGCCTCTGAATCCTGGTCGGCCTTCACCTTGCAGGCCACCAGCAGCTGAGCCGTGGAAGCGGCGACCTGCTTGGCAGATGAGATGAGCTTCTCCTCACTGGCGTGTCCCTGAACAGAGGCATTGGCCGCCTCACAGAGACTGCTGGTCGCAGCCGCCACCATCCGGGCCTGGGGACAGTCAACAGAGAAGTGACCCAAGGCCCAAACCTCCCTCAGGGGACCCAAAAAGCAAACTGGGAGGAAGGAGAAGGCAACTCACAGCAGAAATCAGCCCCTGTGACCACTGTCCGTCGTCTGCAGCATTGGCAGGGATGGAGCCCACCTAGAGAGGAGAGTCGAGAAATTGGCCATGAGGGCAGGCAGCCCCCGTGGTCACAGCCCCTCGTCCCCACACCTTGCTCAGGAACCAGACGTGCACCCCACTTGGTGCCTCCTGCCAACAGCACAGGCCTAAGAAGGGAGCAACCTTTCTCATGTGGGACGCAGGCCATGCCAAGATTGCATAGCACATCCCGGCAAGTTTCCCCACCAAGAGGAAATGGGAAATGCTAAGAATGGCTCCATTTAGCTGCCAGGTACTGCATTTCTGGGAAACGTCTCAGGAATGATGGCCTGGGGCTGTCTTTCTACACTTACTCCTCTGCCGAGCTTTCTCCATTTCAAATGCGGGAGCCACTAGGCCTCCTTTTTTCATCGTCTAAGGGAAATTTAAATCTCTCCCAATTACTGACCCTGAAAACCACACTGTGTTTCTGGCAGATGATGTTAAAAAAGTGTGGTGTACCTCCCTCTGGTACAATTGAGTGCAGACCCTGGTCTTAAGGAAATACCATTTTGTCAGGGGTGGGAGAGAAATAAGAGGCTGGAAGAAATACGGATCTCTGTTTCTATTTAGAAATCACAGCAGCAAGTAGAACATTTTCTGTCCACAGCTAGAGAGAGAAGCGACAGTAGGAAATACGTTCAAGCTTGTGGGACGTGCCTGATGAGGTAAGAGATGAGTATCTCAATTTGAATATGAAATTGGGGGTGTGTAAACAATGACAGGGTCATATCAGGGCTTGCTGAATGTCAGGTAAAACTCCAAGGTCCTGCCTATAATCCTATAGTTCACCCAAGTCTGGCTGAACCTCCGTCACCAACTTTTTAAATGCTTGATCACAAGTTCCTTGGAGGGCAGTTAGGGACTCTGCCATATCCAAGTTGGATTCTCTAGTATCTAAGCAACGTGTTGGACACATAGCCCTTTATGAATGTTGAAATAACCAGGATTTTTTTTTGACATAGGATGTTCTGTTCAATGACACATTTGTGGTCTTTACATGTTGACCAGCCAACAAGAACTTGCTGAGTACAGGAAGGACAAGGTTGGCAGAATGCTGGCTCTACAGGGGATCAACAGGAAGGATGGAGAGAACAGCTTATGTGCCAGGTGGGGAGACAGACACGGACCAATACTGAATAACATAAAACACAATGGTTTAGAAAGAGAATTCAAGGTATGTAGACTGGACTAAGCTGTGGCTGAGCTCACAAAAGACTTCCTGGAAGAAGATGCACGGCCTATGGTCAGGCACAACCTTCCTGTCTGTAGTGTGAGTTCTCGAGTCAAGACACAACTTGCCTCCACCTATCTGTACGCTGACAGCAAAGGCCTTTTAATATCAAACAGAAATGAATGACAATGATGGTGACCACATTTTCCAAACCCACGACTGGTCAGGTTTCTGTGGGGCCTCTCCATTTGAGAGGTTCTCTGAAAGCCAGTGTGGATAGGATGGTTCCATGTGTATGTAAATCACAAGACACATGGAATATGTTAAATCAGAAGACTGTTCCATATCCAGAATTACTAATGTACTAATAACCCTTTGAATCCTCGAAAAACAACTATACTTTTATGCTAAAGTAGATCAAATGGGCGACTAAAGATAAAGCTGAAGAAACTGCAGAATTAAAATCCTACTGGCCCTTTCACCAGCAGACTTAGGAAAGTGCTAACTGCAAAGTTGGCCAGTATTCAGCTCTCCAGTCCCGAAAACAAACGCAGCCCTTTGGAGCTGGAAAGTGGTATCATAAAAGCCGCCGACTGCGGTGCTTCTAGAGCGGCCCACCAGGAAAATATGACAGTTTACATCTTTACGTAGCCTAATGTACAGTGGGAATATAAATGTCTCATTCAGGCCCCAATCACTGCCTGGAATGGGATGCTTTCCTTAACAAGAAGCAGATGAGAGGCCCAGAAGCCAAACCTCTTATTCTGTTGGTCTGAATTCTGTAGTTTTCAGTCGGTCAGCACAGAGAGTGGCAATTCAGGGAGGGAAGGTATTGCATGTGTTTCCTTGGACAGGACAAAGGCTTGTAGCTCTTTTCCTGGGCCCTCAGAGGCATGAGTGTCCCCCATGTGGTCAGCAGCTTTACCCACCTTTCCTTGGGCCACCAGCTCCCTCTGGGCTGCTGAGGCCGATTTGACCAGGGCGCTTGTGGCAGCAGCAATGGATTTAGCAGCTTCCAAGATCTGTTCCTCAAAGTCCAGGGTCTCATCTGCTTGCTATAACCAAAAGAAAACAGCATCACATGCAATTCATATCCACAAAGCGCTCTTTCTTCCAAACTACTTACTGCCGGGTCACCTGGCTCTTCACCTGCCTATTGTTTTTTGTTGACAAACCACACCTGAAATGGGATGGTTCCTTAACAAGAAGCAGACTACAGGTCCCCTGTGCTAACTTCCAGGACTCTACGTCAATTTGGTTAAGCCACCCTCAGGTCACACAGTGTTGAAGATGTGGCTGGTACCTTTCAGGCATTAAAAGACAATGGCCAGACACAGCAATACTTTTCTTTGTATGTGTGGTACAATATATATAACACAAAATTTACCCTTTCACTTAACGTTAAGTATTAATACACTGACATTGTTGTACAACAGCAACACCAGGATAGAAAGGTCAGGCTGCCTCTCCACCTGCAGCCCCTTCCCCCTGACTCCAAAAGGAAAAAGCTGTTAGCGTGACATCCCACAGAAATTTGAAATTGGGAAATTCAAAGACAGACTCATTTTCTGGAACAGAATCTTTAAAGATATACATTCACTGTGAATAAAATACACTCAAATGGTTTTAGCAACATCAATAACCAAAACCAAAACAATAAAATCAAAACAGTGTATCATAGCACTCACTCTCTTCCAGAGCCTAAGCCTCAAAAACGGACTTTAAAAACAAAAAAGGAAAGATGGGTATCAGTTCTCAAAAGTCATCTTTTTCCTGGGTAAAAATTAAAGCCAAACAGCACTGGCATTTCTGTGGCTGAGCACTGAGACAGTTATAGACCAAGCACAGACTGCCCAGTGGTGAAAAAGAAACCAGGGCAACACGACATCAAGGTGGAGCTTGTTCTGTCCCCTGGACACCCGAGGCACAGGCTCCACCTTGGGGAGAACATTGGACACTATTGTGTAGGCGTTATCAGACCGTTAGGGCTCTGCTCTAAATTCACTACCATCTTTGCTGCTAAAACAACTCAGGAAGTTGAAGAGAAGCTTTGGAGAAGTGGGACAAGTATAAAGACTGTGGTCCCAGGCTGCATGGGTTGGAGCACCACAGTTTTGTGGGGGGCGGGGGGTGGGGTGGTCAGATTAGACCTGTGTGGTAATATTCCATGACTCAAGGTCAATTTGGTTAAGCTGCCCTCAGGTCACACAGTGTTGAAGATGTGGCTGGTACCTTTCAGGCATTGAGAGATGATGGCCAGGACCAGTAATATTCTCTTTGTATGTGTGGTAAAATATATGTAACACAAAACTTACCCTTTTATCCAATTTTAAGTGTACAATTCAGTGGCCTTACAGACATTCACACTTTGTGCCAACAGTAATACATTTTTAAGAGTGCCTACTGTGTACCAAGTATTTTGTTAGGCACTTCTACATACAATGACTTCTCACCAAAAAAAAAATCTAATATTGGAATTATCTTTATCCTTATTTTTACAGTGAGAAAACCCAGGCTCAGGAAGGTAGATTATTGGACCAAGGTGATGTGGCAGCATGAAGAATCTAAACCAGAATCAAACCTAAATCTCACTCCAAAATAAGGCACTGTAACTAGCCGAAGCCGCCCCTTAGGGTATCCGTGAGGAATGGTTTGTGCCAGAGGTTCAAAGTCAGCTTGCTAACGCTCCCGTGTGAAACATCAGACAGGAGGGATACAATTCTTCTCCAGTTCTCCATTCTTAATGCCATATCTTGAACCATGAAAGGTGCTAATCCTTTTTCTTTTGCACTTCTAGTGGATCTGAATGATGGCAGCATTTCAGAAGTTCTGAGACAGAACTTGTGCACTGTTTCTTAATGCTGACCAAGTCTTGCTCTAAGAGTATTTAGGACAGAAATGAATTTAGTTCTACTGGACTCATTTTGGATTGGTGGAGTATAGAATTTGGTGACTGAAATACAGAAATGATCCGCTGTAAGACACTCTCGCATAAAAGGAACTCTTGTGTAGTCCACAAATAAATTACAGTAGGCTCTAATTTATACATATTAAATATATAAATAATATATATTTAAAATGTATATTTTAATAACCTTGAGATTAAGAGCTTTTCTGGAAATTCATTCTGCCAAAGAATGTCAGGCACATAACAGATTAAAGCACTAGGGAAATCACAGAATTTTTGACTCCAAACTCCTCATCTCATTTTGCAGATGAGGAAATGGAGGCTCGTGGGAGCTCTTCACGGCGGCTCCTGAAGTCTCCCATGCTCTTGTCGCAGGTGGCCTCAACTACACTATGGGTTCCAAGCCCGAGTCCACTTTACAGTGTGGCATACTCTGTCAGATTTTCGGTTTCCCAAATTTTAAGATTTTAAAAAATGCAATTTCCTTAAAATTAAGCGCTAAATCTTTAGCAGGGGTAGATACGATAGGATAATCTCATCACAACCGATTTTAATGAGCCTCTCCCACATCTTCCGCTGCCTGGGAGGTTTTTTTTAAAAAAATACATGCTTGTAATATTCAACTTGGAAATATTTTTGACACCCACAGATTTTTCTGGTGATGGCAACTATTGTAATGCTCTTTGATGAGTTTTTATTTTTCTTTCCGTAACATCACTATGCTTTAAAACAGACACGGCAGAAGGCCTTATCTCTGGGAGACATTTGCTCTGATTAGAAAGTATTAGAGATTCTTCCTAGAAAGGCTGACTGAGATGGCACAGGGATGGAGGGCTAATGTTAGATGCTACAGTTTGGGCAGAGTATCCTGATGAGACCTGCCTTCTGACTGCTGGTCCCTATTTTTCCTGTATGCCAGTTTTATGACTAAGATGCACTGCCCACCCTATCTCCACTGCTGAAATCAGACACCAATACTTAATGTGTCCTCATACCATACAACTTCTAGCCTTAGAGAAAATGAGATCTCCCCAAGCCAAGGAGACGTGGTCAAAAACCCAGGTGCCCCATCAGTTCCAGCTCCCACCAGCATGCAGAATGGAATAAGGGAGAAGGTAGGAAGGACACACACTTAACCACATCACAAGGAGAGAAACAGAATTCGCTTGGTCTTCAAAGGACTTTCCTAGATAAAAGAATCCCAATGAAAATGCAGAATTTGTTAATGGAACAGTCCCCACTGCAGCTGAGAGACTGGGAGACTAAGAGGAGCAACGTGGTGCACAGTGACTCTGGGGAAGAATGTGGAGGCTGGGCCCCTCTCACGGAGCTCTCATTCCCACCTCTTCACCAGAGAGGCTCAGTTCATTGGCATCTTAAGGTCCTCTTTAGCGGAGACGTTACTGACCTGACCAGGGTCCGTCAGATCTGCCCCTCTGGTTTACAGAGGGGACAATGGAATCCTCACTTCTGGCTTTTTCATTCTTTCAGCAATTGGATCATGTAAAGACCCACTAAAATCTTTTAAACATTAAGACTACTCCTGTGCATGTGGCTATTTATATTTCTTTAGAACTACTGGCATCAAGCTAAAGCAAGGAACTTCAGAAAATAGTTTCGTTAAACAGGATAATAGTTTCATTAAACCAGGATAGTCTTTAGCCACAAAAAAGAATGAGATCCTGCCATTTGCAACCACATGGCTAGAACTGGAGATCCTTATGTTAAGTGAAATAGGCCAGGCACAGAAAGACACACATTGCATGTTCCCACTTATTTGTGGGATCTAAAAATCAAAACAATTGAACTCATGGACATAGAAGAATGGTTCTCAGAGGCTGGGAAGGGTAGTGAGGGGCTGGGAGGTAGGGATGGTTCATCAGCACAAAAAAATAGAATAAGACCTACTATGTGATAGCACAACAGGGTGACTATAGTCAATAACTTAATTGTACATTTTAAAGTAATTAGAATAGTGTAATTGGATTGTTTATAACACAAAGGATAAATGCTTGAGGGGATGGATACTCCATTCTCCATGATGTCCTTATTTCACATTGCATGCCTGATATAGCTTGGCTGTGTCCCCACCCAAATCTCATCTTGAATTGTAGCTCCCAGAATCCCCACGTGTCATGGGAGGGACCTGGTGGGAGGTAACTGAATCATGGGGGCGGGTCTTTCCTGTGCTGTTCTTGTGATAGTGAATAAGTCTTATGCCACCATATGAGACGTATCTTGCTTCCCCTTCACTTTCCACCATGATTGTGAGGCCTCCCCAGCCATGTGGAACTGTGAGTCCAATAAATCTTTTCTTTATCACCCAGTCCTGGGTATGTCTATTTTAGTGGTGTGAGAACAAGCTACTGCCTGTATCAACACATCTCATGTATCCCATAAATATATATACCTATTACGTACCCTCAAAAACCAAACAAATGGATAGCCCTCGCTGCAGAATCACCTGAGAATCTGGTGTAAAGATGCAGACGCTGTTTTGGTAGGTCTGAGGTGGGAGCCAGGACTCCCTATTTCTTACAGAAGTGGTTACACACTACTCTGTAGGAAATGCTGGCCTGGACTCAGGAAAACAAACACCAGTTAACTTAACCCTACCAGCCTGTGATCCCCTCCAGGGCAAGATTGTGTTTTATTCAACCTATGTTTCTCTAGCACAAAATCAGGTGGAGGAGCCCATGTGATGATCAACATTTGCTGAATGAATATATCCATTCAAAACGAGTTTCCCAAGTTCCAGAGTTCAGCCAGAGCACAATGCACAAGGTTGGAGAAGGAGAAATACACAGAGTAAGCATCCATATCATTAGCATCCACTCCTGAGCCATGGTGGACAGATGCACACACAGCTATGAGCAGCTTCCTGCCCCGTTTAAGGCCGTGGGTTGTTAATTGTACACTCTACTTGCATCCCTCAACTAGAATTCACAGTTTGTGACATTTAGTCATACATGGACATACAAATGTAAACACAGTGGCATTTTACCAAGAGGCACTCTTAACAAGACAGCACTGGGAAAAAGAGTGAACAGATGTACAAACTAAGCATCTACTCTGCCTAATGAAGGTGTTTGCTGCTGCCTCTGCATGCTGAATCTATCTTCTCCCTTGATACACTGTTCTTTTCCC